CGTGCCTTCTCTGAAATGATGATGCCACTCAAAAGCTTGCATTTTCAATAATGTTTCACTTCTGTACGCATGCTTAAACATTTTGAAAATCTCCGAAGCACTCTTTCTCAAGTGAACACAAAATTTGATATTGATTTTCTGCTCAGTTGCTACCATTTCTTTCTATCGCTGGTTACTAAATGCACCTGTCCATTAAAAACACTGTCGCCGCAAGCTTTTAACCACGTCATTTGGGACAAACCACTTCTAGTAAAGGGGAAGAACGTAGTAACACAAACGTTCTCGTAGTTGCACTACTGAAACAAATTTTTTCGTTATAGATTCAGTCCAGAAACTTTTGAATCCTATAACGTATATATATCTATTAAGTCAAAAAAAAGTTAATATCTTTTTTATCACTGCATTGATCATCAAAATTAAAGGATAATAATAAGTAAAATGTAACTGATATTTAATGAAAAATTAATAAAAATTTGTGCAAAAGCATTAGTCAACATAAATTACAATGTTTGGCAGTTGATTAGTTGCAAAATATTGAAATTAAAAACAAATTTATGGAAACTAAAAAATTATGGAAAAATTAAATCACCTCTCATGGAAAATATTTTTCTTTAATGTGGTGTATGGTCACCTTGGACTGATATGCATACCTCACATCTTGATTTCATAGACTTTACCAAAGTGTTGATCATGTATTGCAGAATTGCATGCCACTCTTCTAAAAGTGTACTGGAGGGTCCATCAAGGAATTTGGCACACTGAAATACGGTGCCCTAAAGCAGCCCACACATACTCAATCACGTTCAAATTGGGTGAGTAAGGTGGCCAATCCATTTGAGTGATATCTTCTGTTTGCAAGTATTCTGACATAACATATGCTCGATGAGGACTGTCATCAATCAGCAAAAATTCTGGGCAAATAACACCCTAAACAGTCTAACTTGGGATTCCAATACCTCGTCCACATATCTCTAAGTGGTTGTAGAACTTCCTTGAAAGATATGCAGCTCAGTGGGGCCACTTGTCACGATTCCTCCCCAAACCATTAAATCACGGTCACTTAAATGGGATATTTCATGGATAAGGGAAGGCAAGTTGTGTATTCCATCCTCTCCCCAGATCAAAATGCACCTAAAATCATGGTTCAGACTATATCTGGACTTGTAAGTAAACAATACTTGGACCCAGTCATCTTGGCCTCCAGCATGACAATGGCACCAGTTTAAACAGGCCTCTCTGGAAGTTACAGTGAGTGGGACACAAACCATTGGTTTTCTCACATATAGTCCAACCTCATTAAGCTTTCATGCAGTAAAAGAATGGCTAATTCGAGTTCTTGTGGCAGCCTGAAGGTCTAAAACCAAATCTCTTCTAGTCGCTTCGTGAGTTCTTTGAGCCAACAACGAAGAGAAAATGGCCATCTGATGCAGCTTGGTCACCCTTAACCAGGCTTGATGATCAGTGCCAAATGATCAAATGGTCAAATGATCCAGTGCTTTAAAAGTGGATGCAAACTCCTAATATGACACTTTAAGAAACATTAAAATCTTGGGCGAGTTATTTGTGTTTGACCACCCTTGATTATTCACCACTTTTGACCTTCACTTAAATGATGCCTTTGAGACATAACTACTGAATACTGATCACTCTCAGACACCACATTCACTTTAAACAACACTACATATTGGAATTCCAACATACATCCATTGTGCACCACATTGTCGGTCACTGAACTGGCATTCCGGCACTAATGTATGCATGGAAGTGTAATTTTGTGTTCTCAATTGTATTTAATTAACATAAATAGTTAAAGCATCAAGCATTGGTTGCAACGTTAAGTGACCAGTGTATCATTCATTGTTATTTATTCTTCCTTTCTCAAGTTTAAATCTAATGATTTTTATTTTATGATAAAAAATTATAATGTCTATTCAATTTGAAGTACTAAAATGTACAGAATTTTGACTTACTGTATTTATGACATTTTTTACAGTATAAAATCGATAATACTAATAATTACTTTCTGGTAAACTGATATAATAATTTTAAGTTTTACAGTTTACAAAACCTACAAGTGAGATAACACTTTACATGCATACACACAATATGTCACATCTTTATGTTTGCAAAGTAAAAATTTTAAAATAATGAATACTAGAAATAAGTTTTAAATATAAGCTACATATAATGCATTCACAAGTTTACATATAATACAACCTTTTTTCCCCTTTTAAGTGGAAAGTAATTGGCTAATACATATATGCAATCAAATCCAAAAATAATTGCCACAGAGTGAATTAAGCAATAAGTTACCAAGTGTGAGAAAATATACCTTTAAATCATTTTCTCTAAGATAATTCCTTCTCCCTAGTTGCTTTTTTATTATGCAGTATTTACATCCATTGATGAAAGAAAATGTTGCTGTCACAAAGTTACTCTCAGAACATACCTGGATGGACATTCTCAAACATCCCAAAAATCCTGATACTAGTTTATGAGGTACTTTTTTATTATCTGCATACCTGGTTTCAACATTACATTGCCATGTTTTGGCATATTTTTTAGTATCTACACAATAGTAGCCTCCTTGAACATATACACTTCATATTTAACTATTATTTCGCTGATCAATATTCCACTCCCCAAGTACATCTCTTTTGGTTACAAAATCGTAATGCATATGTAGAATTTATTGGCTAATGAGAAAAAAGCATATTTTTATTACTATTTATAAACAGAACCATTCTTATTAGCCATAAATATAGCTGATAGCATTTTTTTTTTTTTTTTTTTTTTTTTGCCAAAAAGTCGGAGGCTGTTCATGAGAGTACAGATAATCAAAGTACCTTTATGTTTATATATATTCTTTAAATTAACATGCTAGATAGAAAGGAAATTTAAACTTTAATTACAGTTTCAAGGGTAAATAATCACTACACATAATTAAAACAGGTAAAGATAGCTCCAGCACAACTGAGCGATATCACTAATCCTCCTAAATATCAAAACAAATATTTTGCATTTGATATAAAAAATGTATGATCACTTGTGGATGAAAATTCGCATTTTTTGTTCAAAAGATATAGCAAGATTGAAAACTCACATATGGAGCCAAAGCTAAAATTATCCTGTTATAAAATTCAAAAAAGCTGCAGATTACATTTAACAGTGAGGCTTTTCACGGGCTATATTCATACCATATATTAAGAGGGGATACAAGATGACTGCTAGAATATTTTCGTTCGTGAAATATCATTCTAGTAGTATATAGTTTTAGGTTGTTGAAAATATATTTCTAAAAACTTCAAATTCTGGAAATATTTAAAATGTTTCCAAAGGAAGTTTAGGGCACCTTAGGAGCATACTATGAATGTTTACTGGTACTTTTCTATTTTGCCGGCGTAAATCTCGCCAAGTAGACTTTATTGGTGAAAACACACAGTATACACATAAAAAATGTTGACAAATGTTAGTTCTAAGAATTTTTTATTTTGAAGGTATAAATATTTTCATGTCGTTTAAAATTTTGTAATAAAGACAATAAATAAAGACATTAAATTTGTAAAAAGACATTAATTAAAGAATTTACTATGCTTTCATCGTACAAAATCCCGATTTGCTGGTTCATATCATGTGACCCCAAGTGATCTCATCTCACGTAAACTACACTACAAAAATCTAATTCGCTCAGTAATCATCTATATTAATTTCCAGTTAAATCTTAATTTGGAATACAAGTTGGATGCAAATTGTTTTGAAAATGTAAAAGGTTACCAGCGAGGATATTTTGTTTGGCATCGGTTGTACCATTACTGGTGACTTTATCGGTTGCACTGGAAAAACGGAAAAGTACCTAATTTTATAATGGAACATTTATTTTAAATCTGATATCATGTATTAAATTTTACACTCTGAAAGTAGTCTGAACTGTTATTATTTAATTTACTTTAAAGAAATTTTGAAATAAAATACTTTTTGCTTATTTATAAATGGAATCGGATCTAAAAAATTAGATTTTTATTTAAAAAAAAGCTTTTGTAACAAAAATTTAGTATATTTTTTGTTTTTATAATAAAATGCATTTTAAATGAAATATTTAATGAAGATTACAAATAATGATTTAAAATACACCATTCAGGCAATAAATTAGCTTTCTCTTGATAAATTTTATCAAATTAAATAATAATTAGATAAGTGTAACAATTTTTGGTAAATCTTCGGATTGTGGTAACTTGGCGATTTTGGGGGGACCAACCCTGCTAGTTTTTTTTTTTTTTTTTTTTTTTTGGGACACCATTTTGTTTTCACGAAGTAAAGGCTTTTCTTTTTTTTTTTTTTTTTTTACTCAACATTTTTTTCCAACAATCTGCTAGCCGAATTACGCTTATCCTATAACTTTTATGGAACAAAAGTGCTTAATCATGACGAAGATTAGGTACGAAATTGGGAGAAAGTGCAGAATTACGCACTGCTTCGCACGTTTTTAAGAATTGCACATACGCGGTATCCGTGTACACGTCGACCTATTTTCACTTAAAAAAACATCCCAGAATTGCACAAAAATGGCATTGCGCACACTCTTGACTTTATCCATGTACATATCGACCTATTTTCACAAAAGTCAAAGAAAATTGACAAAAATCCAATTCTTCTTACTCTTTGTAAAAAGCCGCCAAACAAATAAGTCGACGATTCTGCACTTTAGCAGCGAAATTCTTTCTAAGTGCTTATTAGCTAAAATCACGATCGGAATTTTCCGGAAAATGTCACAGGACATGTCTCTCATTTCTCTGAGACAAAATAATCTGCAATTCAAACTGTGTACTTCTCAGATTATTGCTAAAGTCCTACCTAGTAACCCTTATCGCCTTACCAAAATGTCGCCAAACTAACTGTTACCATATTCCAAAGATTAGCCCAAATTTTATACATGACTAACATGTAAAAGTACTTTTGCACACCACAGATGGTTGGGTAAAGGAGATACTACTTATCACAGCTTAAAACAAAAAAGCCTATAATTTATTTTAAAATAAAGAAGAAAAAAGAAAATTATTAAAAATATTTAAATTTATAAAAGAAAACAGTTCTGCACCCTTTTTCACTGCATCATTTCTTTATGTGGCTTGTGACAAATATTTCCTACAATTGAAGCTTTTTTTTTTTTTTTCTCCTTTTTCTAGAACATTATATTCACATACAGAAAACAATAATATCCCATTTTAATTGTTAATTCTTCAAAGGTTGATGATATAATTGGAAATTTCTGATAAAAAAATTGAAAAGAAAATTCTGAAAATCTAACTTTGCTCTCACAGTTATGATAAAATGTATGTTGGTGGAATTTTATTGCCAGCAATGATTTTCATTAAAAAAATCCTTCATAAATAAAAGATAGACTCTTAGAGTATCACAGTAGCTTATTTTAGCTTTATCCGACAAGATATTTAGCACTGAAAGTATAAAATATTTTTATTTAAGTTTTTTGCGTAATTTTATCTTTAAGTTCTTTGCTTCAAGTTTCAGAAAACAATGGTAATGATGATAAGCATTTTAGTTTCGTAATCTTCTCAAAATGATTAGCAAATTTAATTTCATACATTTAAAAGACAAACATGTACAGAAAATATCACAGGACTTCATGTTCATGTCTCTTCTGTGTTAAATGCAGATGCATTAGAATTCTTTTGGAATATTCAAAATGTTGCAGTTTCACAAAGTTTTCATACAACAGTTATTAAATTGTTCCATTTTCCATATCCCACATAAAAGAGTGATTTTTTTTTCTCTTTAAATAAATTCACCAAAACCAAAGATTGAAATCAGGATTCTTTCATTCTAACCAAAGAGCAAATGAAATTGTTTTTCCTCCTCTTTTTTAAATGGCTGTCAGTACATACTGAATATATAACATCCCGCAGAAAATGGTTTTGTAAATTTTTCTATAATGTAACAAGTTCAAGCGCATTTACCGCAAGAGGTTTAATGCTGTCCAAACCATTAGCTTTAATTTCACATTCTATACAAAGGTACGATGGGTCTGCCATAAGTATACTGGCAATACAATAATAACAAAATATATGATAACAGCCAAATGTATGTGGGAAATTTGGTATTTCTCCGCATAGTGAGCAAAAACTACTTTGAACAGCAGCTTGTTTTGTATTATAGCTTCTGAAATATTTAACTAAGAAATAACGTTTCATAAATCCTTTCATTTTATGCACATTTATCAAAGGCAGGATAAACCCTAACAACTCTGCTATTCCATGCCACAGCAATTCTCTAGAAACATTGTAATTATTCACAAAGTGGATTTCTTGTGGAACTGAGTATACAGGTCTTATGCGCAACACTCTTTCTATCACAGTTGGAAATGCGGACCTTTGCAAAAATATGCAAAAGTTTAAAAGGGTCAACAACTGATAAAATGTTGAAAATTTAGATTCTAATGCGTATGATGCATCTAATGCTTTATGGGAATAAGAAGTATTATACAAAGATATCAACTTTCTGATAAGTCTATTCCAAAACCAGGGGAAACACACACTGACGATAGCAAAAAGTCTAAGTCTGGAATCTGAGGCATCTTCATATGATGGATATTTCCGGTACTTGAGATGGAAAAGACTCTGTCCAAAAGAACACCTTAGAGTTTGTAAAGGTACATATCTATAAAGAAATTTAAACAAAATATCTATTTCTGATCCGAAACGCACAAGAAGAGAGTTCGGAAAGTATTTAAATGCTTTGCGATAGTGTAAATTTAATAAGGAATAAAGTTCATCGTCTAATAAAATAGCATCCAGCTGATCAACTCTGCGAACGTAATATTTTGTCATATTGAAAATTTACTTCACCTTCTCACTCCACGTCAAATCGGAAAACAGAAGTACGAAAGAAACAATCTATTTTGCATTCAAGGCTCTATCTTTTAGCCTTCAAAAAATAAATTCAGGTGTTCTCTAGCAAGGCCAAACTAGTTGGCCTTCTCTTTAGCAAAGTTTATTCTCAGCGTTCATAGAGAAATTTAATAGAGAAAGATGAAGATCATTCAATACAGAAAGATGAAGATCGATAAATATTGATGCAATTATTATCATGAAATTATAATGTCTGCGTATTTTAAATCTGATCGTGAAATTATAATGTCTGCGTATTTTAAATCTGATCGTAAGTTTTGATACAATAAAGAAGACAAAATTCTAAAATTATGAAAAATTCAGCATTGGAAAAAAGACTGAATTCGAAGCATGTTTTGACTCTAATGTCTCTTCATTAGAAGTAATATTCCACTCTTGCATTACAGAACAAATAATTAAATATAAGCAATTTATATTATTTGTTAATCGTCCTCACATCAGTTTCTGAATGTTGTCCAAAGTACTGTCAATAACGTTATAAAAAATATCATTGGTGACATGCTTCCTCGAGTTCAAGAATTCAACAATAACTGGCAAATAAGTTGACTTTAGACGTTTCGTAAGACTTTAATAGTTATGCAACTGACATGTCGTTTCCTTTGTCACCACAAGTTATGAAATATGATGTAGTTGTGGTAACCAAGCCGATATAAGAAATAGTATTAAAGAGAAAAACCGGATCCGTAAAAGATGGCAAACCACCCGGGATCCACAACTTAAACGCAAACTAAACTCTATGCAAAAAGAAATCAACAGAAGAATCAAGAACTTCAAAAACCAAAAATGGACCAATTTTCTAAATAACCTAGCTATAGAGAACAATTCCCTATTTTACATTTTCCGCAAATTCAAGAAACCTTATAAACCTATCCCACTTATCCATGGACCTAGTGGAATTTCATATACAGAAGAAGATAAAGCTAAATCTTTTGCGGACTATAGGGAAGATACATCCACTCTTAATCCCACTGCGTACTACAATAACCATATTCAACGGGTCATCCTGGTGGTCAATAACTTCTTTAATACCCCTGTCCGTACAACTTCATTTTCCTGACTACCCCAACAATCGTTGATAACACCATCAGCTCCTCACAAACGAAGAAAGCCCCAAGGCACGATGGCATCTCGACCAAAGCACTGAAACATCTTCCGATCAACGCTCTTACTTGCCTAACTAAGATAATCAACAATATTATCAAATTCGCTCATTTTCCTAACTCATAGAAGCAAGCTATAATAATTGTTTTTGCTAAACCGCAACAAAATCTTACCTTCCCACAGAACTATCGCCCTAACAGTTTACTTAGCCATCTGTCTAAAGTTACTGAGAAAATCCTACTTTTCCACATCCAAAAAATTCACCCTTCCATGAATTTTCTCCCAGAAGAACAATTCGGTTTTCGTAATCATCATAGCACTTGCCACCAACTTCTTAGAGTTATCAGCATTATCACTGAAGTCTACAACTGCAAGCTTCCGACCGGTGCTATATTCCTCGATATCGCGAAAGCTTTGGACAGGGTATGCCATCGAGGTCTTATTTACAAACTTGTCACTCTCAATTTTTCAGATCATTTTATTCGCCTCTTTTCTTAGCAACAGAACATTCAGAATTAAAATCGGTACTGCTTACTCAACCACCAGAGTAATCAATGCTGGTGCACACAGGGGTCAGCACTTTCGCCGTTCCTTTTTTAATATTTATACACATGACATCCCTAAAGACCGTTCTGTTCATTTTGCACTCTTTGCCGATGACACCGCCATACTTACTACCTGCACAATTATCGCCGTAAGAAACCAACTCCAAAACTATCTCATAAAACTGGAAAAATGGCTCACCCTTTGGAGGACTAAAATTAACACTGATAAAATAAGGCAAAAATGTTCCGTAAAGGAAACATGAAATACTATCCTCCAACCCCTGAAATAGACTGGATTAATGAAACCAAATACCTTGGAGTCATTCTTGACCAAAAATTTACCTTCAGAACTCACTTCCGCTCCTTAGTAAAAAAATTTTAAATCACCAGAGCTACTATGCGACCTCTTCTTGGTAGAAAAAGCAACTTATCTACTACAAACAAATTAATTTTATATCGCTCCATACTTCGTCCAGCTCTCCTTTATGCAGCTCCGATCTGGGGACATGCAGCTAAAACCAATATTAAACAATTACAAATTCTGCAAAATAAAATTATACGAGAAATTATCAATGCTCCTTGGTATATTCCAAGCATCTACATTCACAGAGACCTTCAAATCGAACTTATTCAAGAGTATATTAAACGATTAGCGGTCAACTTCTTTTATTCAGTACAAACCCACAGTAATAGCCTTATTAGCACTCTCAGACACTCCCCGCATACCAGTGAAAAACATCGGTACCATTGTGACATTCTACCCATATAAGAATTGCAACCTTAGTTGACTCATTCACGCTAAACTGACTCTGCGGTTTACCACCCGCAGCTACATCTTATAACGATACTGAACTTACCCCCTTTTTTCGCCGCCGTTAGCGCGGACCTGCCTCTCTTTTTCCGCCTCCCCACACTACTCTTTCTCCTCCCACCTGATTCTTATCAGAAGTCGAGTAAAAAGATGTTTCTACATCTTGACACTCGAGAATAAAATACGATCTGTGTGTGTCAAGGAGGTGTGGTAACCAAATAAATGAACCTACAAATTACTTTTAATTCAAGTAGCTCCGTATTGGCCTTCCCCTATTTCTTCGTAACTTTGAATTTATGCTGCATTTGGGAGATTTGTTATTGTGCCTTTGACACTTACAGCATTTCCTCCCGTTTTTTATTAATTTTATCGAAATGAAAAAAGAATGCGAAAAATTTAATTTCGTAAGGACGCACATACTGTAACAAAATAACAAATTAAAATGTCAATGATAAACTACAGGTAATTATCACAGTATTTTTTCTTTGAAAGAAGCAGTATTAACATTACAATATATAATAAGACATCTTCATTTCTACCTATCTCTATCCCACATCTTCTCATTGTTTACTCAGCTACTCCTGGTGATTGATCGATTCTTAAATAAGGCTAGCATAAGTTCAGGTTAGAATATTCTAACCTCCTTGAGTTCAACAGTTAGAAGGAAAAGGATTGATAAATCGGGGTTCGTGTACTTTTCCATACTATCTGAGAAACGAGTTGGTTGCGATTGTAGGTCTTTAGTATCAAGACAAAAGCAGACGAATCCATTTTTAAATTTATGGGAAAAATCCCCTTCCTTAATGTGTTCCGAGGGAAAGGGGAAAATTGGGCGAACATTTTTAAAATTTTCAAAATCTGTCTCTAAAGAGAGAAGAATAAATATGCGAAGGAGGAAAGCACGTGAGGAAATACGGTATATGTGTTTTTGCTCGTAATTCCTTCTCAAATATTTTGGTTGTGGTGCCTTATTAAGATTCGTATTGCCTTTCATACTGCATTTTTCGCACTCATCTCTCCAGTTAACACCTCGATATTTTCCTCACCAGCTCTGCAGTTCTATTTTTCGAAAGGATAATTAACGTCAGTGGCGGACCTATCAAGATCCGTAGTGAAAATCGCTCTGGGAATTCCGCTCATTATTAGAATGATACCTATACAAGAGCTTAGCACAAATACATAATTAATATTTAATTGATTAAAATTAAATAGTTAAAATGATTCAGGGATTAAAAAGACAACTTACATACAGCACACAAACATATGTTTAAAAAAATTATCAATCTGCCACTTTTTATGTTTTAAAAAATGTTTTTAACATTTCTGTGAGTACAAAAAGCTAAAATTGTTTATTATGAGCTTTGATCTCTGAAAGTTTTTCTATAGTTTCACCAAAATTAATGATTTTATCTAGTGTACTTTCAACCGAAAGGATTATTGTCAAATCGTTAAAGTCTTAATTGACTCACTGTTGATCGCAGATAACTTTTTATCAATTTCAACTTTACAAGAAAAGCTTCTCTTACAAGAAGTGAAGGAAACACATACTGTCAAAAAAAGTCATTATTGTCAGCTATTAGTCAGGGAATGATTCTTAAAAGTCCTTTTCCCAAATACACTTTAACATTTTCAATGCAAACCTCTTTTTAGTATCGTCCTTATACTTTTGCTGCTTGAAGATGAGGTCTTTCCCTAACCGTTTAACTTATATTTCTATATATAGGCACATCAACTCGAGGAAACAAAAAAAAATAGTTCTATGTACCTCCCAAATTCTACTCGGCCGATTAATAAAATTCAACTACTGTTTTTCATGTATCGAAATCGCAACTTAAGATACATATTAGATTTATGAATAAAACATATGTATTTTGACACAATATCGGACTCCTTTATGAAATGACTTTGCCAGTTTTTTTCCATATTTCGATTCAACGACTGAAATTATGCGAAATTGACAAGTTTTGTAAAAATACCAGCAACAGTGTTTCTTAAATTAGCAATCAAACTTTTAACTCCCACCTCCCAACGCTGATTGAATTTAGCAAATATTTAGTAATATCGACTTAAACTCACTTTAAATTCTTCTTTCACAATTCGAAATTTAAGTTTTAATTCAAATAAAACTCATGCACTTTTCCTTGTGATTTATTTTAAAAATTTGTATTAAATATTAAAAATTTTTAGGAAAAGAAATTTGAATTATAACCTATAAAATGTTTTGCCATCTAGACTTACCTGCAAAATAACAGAGTTCTCAGTTATTTATTTAGTTTCCCAAGATATATATGAATTTATATATTGGCGAGTTTTGAAATTTGGCATATTTGTTAGAAGCATTAAATGGGGTTTACGCTCTTTGCCATATCTTCAATGAATTGCAACAGTTATATTGATCTTTAAACTTCTAAATAAACTTTTGCCGAAGATTATTCATTCATATGGAATTTCTCCACACTTTTTTTTTTTTTTTTTTTTTTAATAATGACTAATGGATATTTACTGTATAATATAACAGGGTTCATAGC